ACTTCCACTTCTTAATAATAGACTTCACTGTGCTTCTAGGCATTGATAAAACCTTTGTATCTGTCTCCTGACTTGTGCCTGTCCACAACGTTATCCTGGAGATCTTTTGACAGTGCTTTGCCACCCATAGTTGATTGTTTGCTTCGGTTGCACTACCAAGGACTGAAATGCTCCAGGAAAGCTCTTTTCATGCTGAGCTAATCAAACTGACCACAGCTGATTTCACTTAAGTCAAATGGCTTTGTGTGCCATTGAGAAGGTGATTAGCTATGACTGATTGAGTTTACAAGTCATTTTACAGAGGGGGGGGGGGGGGGATCCTTTTTCCAACTCTGTGATTCTGTTTTTTTTTTTTTTCCTGACATGTTGGTGATATATCTTTCACTTGGCTGTTAAACAAAAACTGTGTCCGTATTCATTTCAGGCTGCAAAGCAACAAAATTATTTTCTATACCTACTGTATGTTTTCTCTTTGTATGCTAACAGGCAGAAGATGACATCTCCCCCATTGTCTTGGAGAAATACCTTGGCCTAGTGGAGAGGCCGTTCAAAGAGGCAGTCACAAGGTAGGAATGTGATCCATCTTATCTCCTGCCCCTACTAAAGGCTAGGAAAGCCACGGGTGGCCTTTGAAGTCCCTGATTTTGCTTGTTGATTTCTCATTCCTTTGCATGTTTTTTCTTCTCTAGAGAGGGTCTTGCTGAATACTTAGAAGGATATCATAAGCAAGTAAATCTCTGCCTTCAGAATGAGGTAACTTGTTATTTCTCAAACACATCAAGCTAATACTGTACGAAAAGAAATAAAGAAGTGTTTGAAATGACTTTAGCGTTTCTCACTTTCAATTTCTCACTGTGTTTTCTCTCTCTCTCTCTCTCTCTCACTCTCTCTCTCATTAGAGCACCCTGTATAAAACAGTGGACAGTGTGGTTCAGTCTGTTAAAAATCTGTGCTGTGCTCTGGATGAAATTGAGACACCAGCCATCACTGATGCAATCAAGAGGTTCAAACGCTCTGTCAACCTTCCTAGAACACGTTCTCCAGAGGTCAGAGAACATTCAGTGTAATGTAGCAATGCACAATATTAAAACTGTAGCTGATACTTTTAAGCTAGTCACTATTTTAATGTTATGACAAATAACCGATTGTTAATAAATGGCTGATATTATAGTTCTAAACTAAACAAAAAATCAGTTACTTTAAATTGTAAAAGTAAGTTCAGGCATCACAACATTATAATATACGGTATTAAAAAAATTAGATCCACTAAATATTACATCTAACCTTGTTTAATTCAATTATTAGTATTTTTTTTATTTATCCAATACTGTGAATGTAAAGAAATTACAATTAATAAAAAAAATAGCTGACAGGGTATAGATATAGTGCATCCCTAGTCTAAACCACAGCAATTTTAGTCCTTATTTAGTTTTTTTTGTTTGCATATATATTCAAAGAACACTTGTTTTGCAGGCTGGTTGTACAAGTTCAGCTTCTACAGGTTCAGCTAATGGTAAGCTCCGCTCCTAAAGTCATCTCAATGTCCTTCTCTTAAAAGGTGAAGTATGTATGTAGTATTTTCAATATTTAAAATACTTTGCTCTAATTCTTCATATGCACACTCATCTACAAGTAAGCCCTTTTGGTGGATATTTCCCCCTGAAAATGTGTAAGCTCTGTGGCTTTGTTGTGCTATCAAAACTTTGCTCTGTAGTTTTATTTTTCATGATCCAGTCCACTTTCATATCCAAATCCAACCATTCTGTATAGTATTATTAGTAGTAGTAGTAGCAAAGCAATGCTTTGCAGCTTTAACTTTTTTTTTTTTTTTACATGATTGTATGTTTCCAAAAATTTGGGATGTGCTGTTTCTTGTTCACCTATGCTTTACTCAGCTTCTTGTGATCCCCAGGTTATGCTAGCCCAGTGGAGGAGATTTTAGCCGGACTCACAGACGCTGTGTATGATCTCGCTAAGCTCTACCTGAGGTCTTTCTGTCCAACTATTCCTGGTTGCACGATGGAAGAGGACAGGAGGGACAGCAGAGAGGCCTCGGGCACCACAGAACACCTTCAGTTTACTCTGTTTGCCGTTCATGGCATTCCTGCTACCTGGGTCAGCAGGTAAGCACGGTGTCCCTTTTTGGTGTTTCCGTACCGTATGTATGTAGTATTTTCAATATTTAAAATACTTTGCTCTAATACTTCATATGCACACTCATCTACAAGTAAGCCCTTTTGGTGGATATTTCCCCCTGAAAATGTGTAAGCTCTGTGGCTTTGTTGTGCTATCAAAACTTTGCTCTGCAGTTTTATTTTTCATGATCCAGTCCACTTTCATATCCAAATCCAACCATTCTGTATAGTATTATTAGTAGTAGTAGTAGCAAAGCAATGCTTTGCAGCTTTAACTTTTTTTTTTTTTACATGATTGTATGTTTCCAAAAATTTGGGATGTGCTGTTTCTTGTTCACCTATGCTTTACTCAGCTTCTTGTGATCCCCAGGTTATGCTAGCCCAGTGGAGGAGATTTTAGCCGGACTCACAGACGCTGTGTATGATCTCGCTAAGCTCTACCTGAGGTCTTTCTGTCCAACTATTCCTGGTTGCACGATGGAAGAGGACAGGAGGGACAGCAGAGAGGCCTCGGGCACCACAGAACACCTTCAGTTTACTCTGTTTGCCGTTCATGGCATTCCTGCTACCTGGGTCAGCAGGTAAGCACGGTGTCCCTTTTTGGTGCTTGTGAGATGAGTGTTTCTGAAGCTGGTATAAGCTTTAGCTTAATACTTTCTCAATAAAGAAATGGATTTTTAAAAGAAATCCATTTTCCCTTCCTGTTTTGGCGTATCGAGCCTCGCAGTCTAAATAAGCACTAAACGCTGTTTAATTCACTTCAGACTGATAATGACTCTGTTTAACAAACTCACAGCCAAGGTAAACTTCTCTACTACTTTCAAAGCACTGCCTTAGTCCATATTCATTACACTGTTATTTCCTCCAGGATAATTTAAGTAATTTTTGGGTCTGTTCTTTTGGAGCAATCAGCCTCAGTAAATTATATCTGGACCATTCAACGTTTAACCCAACTTGGAGAGCTTAGAATTGTGTAATTTTCATTCACTACACTCAAAAGTAACTGTATTTAACATTCTTTTGAAATGGCCAGCTATAAAAATGCTGCAAGGAATGAGGGCTGTGTCCTCTGATAATTAATATTTGGAGGGTCACAATGTTGCTGATGATCTCTTATTACTAATGCTGTGCAGTACAGCTAAATATTTAAATCTTTTTGACATTCGGTATATATTTTGAAACTTGTGTGTTTGTTCTTAAATGGCCTAAAATTTTGATTTTTATTTATTTATTTTTAATCCACAAAAAGAAATCAAAATGACTCCAAAACTTCAATAACATTGCTTTCATGCTTGTTAATCATTAGACGAGGATGGATCAAATAACTAGTCAATTGACAGTTTTTATGACACTTAATATATAGTGTGTATATTCCGTTCCGTTTTTTTTTAGAATTTATATTTTTAGAAGTTTTTTTAATAGTTTATTTATAATATTACAAAAGATTTGTTTCAAATAAATGCTGCTCTTTTGAACTTTCTATTCATCAAATAATCTTGAAATGTATCATGTATCACAGTTTCCACAAAAATATTAAACAGCATAATTGTTTTCAACATTGATAATAATAAGAAATTTTTCAGGAGCAAAAAATGGGCATGTTATAATGATTTCTGAAGAATCATGTGACACTGAACACTGGCGTAATGGCTGCTGAAGATTCAGCTTTGCCGTCACAGGAATAAATTACAACTTAAAATGTATTAACATGGAAAACAGTTCTTTTAAATTGTTATAATATTTCACACTATTACTGCATCGTACTGTATATTTAATCAGCCCTAAGCATAAAAGTTTTAACATTATGAGAAATCTTACCAAACCCATACTTTTGAATAGCAGCTATATATGTGTAATACATTAAAATAGTTGATACTTTATATCACCAAGGGAGTTTCTTACTCTTATGGAACTTAGTTGAATGCTAGTTTGATGAAGTCAGTGGGTTAATCTTTGTTTCAGGCCTTACTGCGTAGCTTGCTTTATCTCTAGCTCTCTTTATCTAGCCTCAGCAGCAGCACTGCTCTGCCGTGGCTGAAATAGACTTGATTAGTGATTTCCATAAAGAACAGTGAGAGCAGGCAGATCTGCTCAGAGAGAGGGGTGTGGGTGTGTGTTTGGAGGGAAAGGAGGGTCAAAGTTCTGCACCACTTGGTTCTGTATTTTGATCCAGTTCTCTAGAGGGAGAAGCTTTTATTTGTCACTAATTTTTCTCTTGAGGATACTTTCTACCACAGTGCTTCATCATGGAGTCTATTTATAGTAGTATGAAAAATTTCCATAGACCACACCAAAAGAGATTCAAAATATGTATCCTTGTGCCATCTATAATCCTAAAAAATATTTGAACTTTGATTGGCCGTGTTGAAAAACAAAGCGCATACTTTGCCATCATTTGAAACATTTCAAACAAATATTTGAATGAATATATGCAAACCATTTTTGTGTAAACTGCACATAAAACTAAATGAAAACAGTGTTTTAATGGTGTGGTAGTCTTGATTAATTTATATATCGTATTCAGTCAAATTATGCTTTTGGCAATAGATAAGTACAGGCCGATGTTTTCTTCCCTTTCCGTGCCGTAGAGTAATTTGTCCTTCCTGTTTTTCAGTTTTGAAAAATACTACCTGATGTGTGCCCTGACCCACAACAACAGGAATCTCTTCAAGCCTGTCCAGTCCAAAAAAGTGGGAACATACAAGAGCTTTTTCTACCACATTAAATGGGATGAATTGTAAGTGTTAGTGCCCCTTAAACATGTTGGCACGCTATTTCCTGCAGTTTTTAGAATTAGAGGGAAATCAGCGGGATTGCTGCCAGTTTCTGCTGTTGGTGACAACTTCCTCTGTTTCTTTAGGATCAGTTTCCCTATTTCAGTGGCGCTGTTACCGCTGGAGGCCATGTTGAGTCTTTCTCTCTATGGGGTTCTCAACCAGAATGCGAACAACTCGCCAGATTCCAACAAGCAACGGAAGGGTCCAGAGCTTTTGGGAAGAGTGTCCATGCCTCTCTTTGATTTCAGAAGGCAAGTCATAAAATAATGCCTAAAATAAATTAGATTTACCTTTGAGAGTATATTGTAAGTTGTAGAAGTTTCAGGACTGCTTCATATTTTTTTAGGTGCATATGCAATCTTTCTTTGTATTTTTTTCCAACAAATAATAATTCAGCAATAAATCAATTATTCAGTGTTCATAATGCCAAAATGGATCCATAAACAGCTTCATTGTTGATGACTGAAAAGTATGTAATATCATTGCCTCTTTATGTAAAATTTTGAAGGACAAAGAAAACACATTAGGTAACACTGGCTATGATAAAATTACAGATGTGTTTCACTCACAAAGTGGGAGGTTTCATACAGTTAGGACTCTCCAATTTGTAATTACAAGTTCAACAAAAAATTAAACCGTCAGAATCTTGTAATTATGGCAATTCCTATATGACAGCACAACATGACCACTGTATATTGGGATGCCTGTGGTAATTTAATACATTTGAGACTGCAGCATAATAAGTAATATAAACATGGCTTCCTGCGTTTTTTTTGTTTCAGGGTGCTGTCAAGAGGTAGCAAGCTGCTAAGTTTGTGGACGTCTCCTCAAGTCCTTCAGCCTGGAGCTGCAGGCAAGGGGAAGAATCCTTCAGAACGGATCATACTGCAGGTTCTTTTATTTGCGCTTTTTTCCATCTAGAGTCAGTTGCCCTTCACTGACATTGATTTACACTTAAATATCATTGTCTGACCATGCACAGGTTGACTTCCCCAGTCCTGCGGTGGACGTGCTCTATGTTGGTCCTCAGGAGAACGGCTGCCCAGACCCTCAGTCTCTAGAGCCACTTGATCTGGGAGATCGAGGTGAGATAGAAAAGCTGTGTGCACAAGCATCTGCTTTTGGGTAAGTTTGCATCACTAAAAAGACCTCATGGCATAATGTAGATTTGCATTTCATGAAGGAAATAGCAGTTCTTGCTAAAGAGTAGTTTTAAGGTTTTAGGTAGGATTAGTTTGTAGGCTTTGATTCTGGCTTTTGGTAAATCCCTAATCAGAATATTTGATACAGTTACAGTGCCATGTGCTTCCTGTCTTGTTTGAGCATTAGAAGCTTCATAATAAGCCTCAGTAGCATATGAACTGAACATGATTTCAGATATGGAGGATAAGAGACTTTGAGAGCATTATGTAATTGAATCAGTTCCGCCTAGTTACTCCAATTATATGGATCCCCTTCAGCTTCTCTTATTTAAGGGTTTTAATTAAATTGAGAATGAAGTGATTTTGAGCTTCTCAGTGTAAAAAAAAAACTATTAAAAACCTCTATTAAATAGACATGGACATCATTAAGCCAATTCACAACTCTCTAAACACTAATGTTACATTCACACCGCAGCAAAATACAGTGCACATACATTGATGATGCACTGTTTCAGGTTCAAAAGAGCATAATTCATTTAAAATAGAAAGTTTTTTAACAATGTAAAAGTCTGAGCCTAGAGAAGGGGATTCAGTTCTTTTTGTCCAAACAGACATTATTTGATTCTCATCTGTCTTCTTCTGTATGTACAGGACAATCTGTGAGTCACAATGTTTATGAGAACTATTTAGTGTTTCACATGAATAACTTTTTAGAGGTTTTCTTGTAAAGATAGCAAAAGCGAACTTGATTCTCTGCAATAACAACAAACTGTGACTTCACAGAAGTGCTTGTGACTTCAGAATAAATCTCTATTGATAAGGAGACATTGCAGCTGTAAAGCAGACAGTTGTCAGGCCTTGTTTAGTATGCTCTGCTGAAAATGCATCTCTCAGATGTAAAACAGAATGCTCAGTCAGCTTTAAAACAGCCACACAACACTCGGCCTCAACCGGTGGGCAGCTCTCCATGCTCATTTTGTGAGCATGTCTTTCTGAATGCCCACCAAGTGCCAACAGCTGCCGGGCTCCCAGCTTGACTGCCCATTTGCAGACACATTTAAGAGGTGTGACTTCTTTCCTGTGCCTCTTATCTCTGGATCAGGACTAAAGATTACTTTATGGTTCATGGATTAACAGGTTAGAGTGTCTGCTTCTTGGGTTAGTTTGAAGCCCACAGGAAGTACCATAATGTTTTAGTATATAAGTTGCATTTTGTTTATCATCTGAAACATACTGTAACTTTTATATTACGAAGTGACCTATGTAATGAATTTTACATCAAGCATGCAAAACATGCGCAAAGCACACACATTTTGAATTGTGCCTATTGACAGAGGTACTTACTGCCCAAGTTTATTTGTGCAGCTAATTTTCCACATACCATCTTTTACTTTAAACAAATTAGTTCAGGCTTTGCTTTTATTATTAATGTCTAGAATGAATGCCACTATAATTTGTTTTATGCTTATGTTTTTCTGTACTCTTTTCCGGTTCTATTCTGGAATGAGGGGCAGTAAAATTTACATTTTTGTAGTGTTTGTAATGTTTGTAAAAGTTTTGTTTTATTTACCAGTATTTTACATGATTTCTGAATGCAGTTTTGACCCCTTGAAACTTATAGTTAGGGGACAACTTATGTTCTGGAAAATACGATACTTTGTCTACTTTGACATTGCCCAGCATTCTTTACCACCAGGCTGTCACGAGCAGACAGGCAGCTGCTCTGGGACCAGCGGTACTATTGTCGGGACTATGAATACAGCCTGCCCAAAATCTTGGCCAGTGCACCCAGCTGGGACTGGGGCAGTATGGGTGAGATCCACTCACTTCTGCACCACTGGCCCCCTCTGTCGTCTGTTTCAGCCCTGGAGCTCCTTGATTCAAAGTATGTATCTGTCCCGCTTCCTCTCTGTTTTATGGCCCACTTTCACCTTTCCTTCTGTATAGCACAAGCTCATTTTTACCATCTGACCTTTTTAATGTGTCACTTTGGTCATATGATTTTTCTTTGTTATATCTTTCTTTCAAACTTCAATAATTTTTGACCACTTTATTGGTCTCATGACTTGCTTTATTACTGTTCTGTGATGGAGAGGGAGCTGAGCATGTGGTGAATGTTGTGCTTGGTTGTGTGTGTTATATTCAGGTTTGCTGACACAGAGGTGAGGAAAGTGGCCATGAGCTGGATCGAGAGCAGCAGTGATGATGAGCTGGCTGACTATCTCCCTCAGCTGGTGCAGGTGCGCACACACACACACACACACACAAACAAACACATTTATGCATGTATCTTTTCTTCTATAAACAGCTTGTCATAGTGCTTTCTGTTGCTTTTTTTCTTGGTTATGGATGCTTGATTGCATGTTATTTACAGTTAAAGGGGTCATATGAAATGC